CCTCAGACCCCGAAAGCTCAGCTTCTGCTGCACACATCCCAGCAGACCCAGGCGTGCGGGCCACAATTCAGCCTTTGTGGACTCACCCTCTCACGTGGACGGTGCCAGGAGGGGCTGACCGCATTCTGCCTGCAGCTGGGACAAGCCCCCGAGAGGCCTGGGCCCCCCTTGGCCTCCACGGAGAGATGGAGCTGGCATGAATGCAACATCCTGCATTTGCAGAAATGGACTGTGGTGAAGGGCAGGCCTGGAGAGACAGCTGCTCATGTGAGAAAGGTCATTCATTCATTCATTCACTTCTTCAATAGATGCTTATTGAGACCCCGCTCTGTGCCAGGCTCTGGGCTGAGGACTTGTGTGCTGAGACACGTGACTCTTGCCCATTTAAGGAAAGAGACTGGAAGGAAGGGACTTCCCTGGTGGCGCAATGGTTAAGAACCTGCCTGCCAATGCAGGGGACGCGGGTTCGAGCCCTGGTCCGGGAAGATCCCACACGCCGTGGAACAACTAAGCCCGTGCGCCACAACTACTGAGCCTGAGCTCTAGAGCCTGTGAGCCACAACTACTGAAGCCTGTGCGCCTAGAGCCGGTGCTCCGAAACAAGAGAAGCCACCGCAATGTGAAGCCCGTGCATGGCAACGAAGAGTAGCCCCCGCTCGCCGCAACTAGAGAAAGCCTGCACGCAGCAAAGAAGACCCAATGCAGCCAAAAAATAAATTAAAAAAAAAAAAAAAAGACTGGAAGGAAACACCCTGCATTAGAGTCACTCAGGGGCCCCCATTTCCAGGGTTTCGGATTCAGAAGTTCTCAGTCAGGGCGTGAGGATTTCTGGCAAGTCCCCCACCAGTGTTGCTAATGCTGCTGGTCCAGGGACCACACTTTGAGAACCACTGTGATTCAAGACCAGGTGGAGGAATGATGAGTGGTTTATGTTTTCTGTTTTCAAAACTGTCTTTATGATCGTCATTTACTTTTTTAATAATTTTTTTTATGATTAACATTTTTAAAAATTTATTTATTTATTTATTTTTGGCTGCGTTGGGTCTTCATTGCTGCATGCAGGCTTTCTCTAGTTGCAGCGAGCAGGGGCTACTCTTCGTTGCGGTGCACGGGCTTCACATTGCGGTGGCTTCTCTTGTTGCGGAACATGGGCTCCAGGTGCGTGGGCTTCAGTAGTCGTGGCACGTGGGCTCAGTAGTTGTGGCGCACGGGCTCTAGAGCGCAGGCTCAGTAGCTGTGGCACGCGGGCTTAGTTGCTCTGCGGCATGTGGGATCTTCCCGGACCAGGGCTCTAACCTGTGCCCCCTGCATTGGCAGGCGGATTCTTAACCACTGCGCCACCAGGGAAGTCCCATCATTTACTTTTATAAACAGAAAAATCAGTTTTTTAAAAAAATATTTATTTATTTGGCTGCATCGGGTCTTAGTTACGGCATGCAGGATCCTCGTTGCGGCATGCGGAATCTTTTTTTTTGTTGCGCACGCGGGCTCTTCGTTGCAGCACATGGGCTTCTCTCTAGTTGTGACACTCGGGTTCTAGAGTGCGCGCCCTCAGTAGTTGCGGTGCGCGGGCTCTCTAATTGTGGCACACGGGCTTAATTGCCCCGCGGCATGTGTAATCTTAGTTCCCCAACCAGGGATCGAACCCGCATCCCCTGCATTGGAAGGCGGCTTCTTAACCACGGGACCACCAGGGAAGTCCTGAAAAAATCAGTTATTTAAAAGTTAGAAAAATAAGCGGTCGCCAAAAATGACTCCAGTGCCCTGGGTGTGGTCCTGTGTTGTGGGATGTCACCTCTCATGATCTAAATGTCATACATCTTTTTTTTTTTTGCCGTACGCGGGCTTCTCACTGTTGTGGCCTCTCCCGTTGCGGAGCACAGGCTCCGGACGCGCAGGCTCAATGGCCATGGCTCACCGGCCCAGCCGCTCCGCGGTATGTGGGATCTTCCCGGACCGGGTCACAAACCCGTGTCCCCTGCATCGGCAGGCAGACTCTCAACCACTGCGCCACCGGGGAAGCCCTCATACATCTTTTAATGTAGCCCAGCATCATTAGCCTGTGCATCCCCTGCACTTCCCTTTGGCTCACCCTGCACTTTGGGTCCACTCCGACCCCCAAATCCTCCCTGTCAACACGTTCTGTAAATAGTATGGTGAGGATTTGGACACAGGCCCATCTGCAGGCTGGTTTAGCTTGGATTTAGCCAACTGGCCCACATTTCCTGAGTGCTGTTTCCTTCATGCTTCCTTAATCTTGCCAGCTGAAATGCGTGTGGACCCCTCACTTCCTCATTTCTTTAACTGGTGTGATCATTAACTGTCCCACTTCCTCCTCCTCCACTTTTAGTTCTGTCTGCTTGGCATGGGGGGGAGGCTGCATCTGTGTATATACTGGGGTAGAGGTGAGGTTCCTGATGAGGGGACCATTCCTCTGCAGCTTGACGTAGGCAGAATCATTCTCTTTGCGGGGTGCTGCTGAAACCCCCCCCGAGGCTGTGGTGCCAGGTGGGAATCAAGCCCTTCAGTTGCTGGTGGGAATGGGACAGTATCTGTTGTGGTTGAGAGAAGCAGATACCCTGTCATCCCCTCTGTCTTCCTTTCCTGTGTTCAGAACCATTTGAGAAACAGTCCCAGGAGTAACTGGGTGCAGATGGATATAAAGACCTCCATGAACTTTCATACTAGAAACCAGCCTGAAGGTGCCACTTCCTAACCCTGAATTAAATCAACCCATCCAGTCTCAGGGGCGCTGGGAACCGCAGGCCATTCCTCCATAGGGAGCCACCCATTTTCTTTGGGGAAAGGGAGGCTCAGAGGGCTGGTGAACCCAGCTCTCCAGATGTGGTCCCTCTCCAGAGCCTGCACAGTGGTTTGTTTGTTTGTTTGCTTGCTTCTTGGACCCACCCCGCTTTCCCATCAGCACCATTTCTAGGTGCTTTCTGTGACTCCTTTGGGATGCCTTTGGCAGGTCATTCATCTCCTGTGACTTGGTTTCTCTATTTTTTTTTTTTTTTTTTGCGGTACGTGGGCCTCTCACTGTTGTGGCCTCTCCCGTTGCGGAGCACAGGCTCTGGACACTCAGGCTCAGCGGCCGTGGCTCACAGGCCCAGCTGCTCCGCGGCATGTGGGATCTTCCCGGACCGGGGTACGAACCCATGTCCCCTGCATCGGCCTGCAGACTCTCAACCACTGCGCCACCAGGGAAGCCCATCGGTTTCTCTTTTTAGTGTACAATTTTATTTAATCCGTTCAATCATACTAAGGGCAGATATTATTATTTCCATTTGTGACTCAGCTTTCACATCTGCTGTTAGACATAGTAATCATCCATTTCTTCTCCTGGGTCTCCCCACTCATCCCACTACACTTTGTGTCTAATGATTGTTTCACTTTGGTATGTCTTTTTGTGATTGTTTACATAACAAGACATGCCTTCATGCACTCAGTATTTGTTGGGAGCCTGCAGGATGCTGGGCCCTGTGCTGGGTATGGGGCATACAGCGGGGAGTGAGGTAGATGTGGGGAAGCCCCCCAGGCACTCACGGTCTCTCTGGGAGACAAACTCTTAAATGGAGAATTGCTGATATACCCATGATAACAAAGGGGAAGTGAAGGACATCTGGGAGTTGATGACAGAGGTGGTCAGGAGCTGCCCTGAGGAAGTGAGGTCATCCCCCTCAACCCCCTCCACTTAAAACCCAGACTCAGATTCTTTACTCAACCCTTCAAGGCCCTGGATGGCTGACCCCTGTCAGTTTCCCCAGCCTCAACTGACCCCTGTAGCTACCCTGGCTGCCTTGCTGTATCTTGACACACTGAGCTCTTTCCTGCCTCTGGGCCTTTGCACACACTGCTCCCTGCCTCTCTCTCTGCATGGCTGTTTCTTCTTGCCTCAGCTCAAATGTCCCTTTAGAGGCGGCCTCCCCGACCTTGTCCTCTAACATAGCACCTTCCCCCATTACTCTTTCATATTACCCAGGTGTGTCGGTTCTGTTTTTTTGTTTTTTTGTCTTCCCAGCTCTTAACAGTATCTGAGGGTTTTTTTTATCTTTCAGTTTACTGTGTGTCTTGCCAATGAGACTTGGGGCTCCATGCAGACAGTACAGAAAGGGCCACGTTTGTCATGGTCACCACTCTCCTTCCCCACCCCCTGTGCCTGCACAGAGCCTGGTACACAGTTGGTGCTCATAAATGCTTGTTGAATGAGCCTCTTCTACTTCCCCAGTGTATTCCCTATTCCTGCTATAATAAGTTACCGCGAATTTGACTTAAAACAATCCCAGGGCTTCCCTGGTGGCGCAGTGGTTGAGAGTCCGCCAGCCAATGCAGGGGACACCGGTTCGTGCCCCGGTCTGGGAAGATCCCACATGCCGCGGAGCGGCTGGGCCCATGAGCCACAGCTGCTGAGCCTGCGCGTCCGGAGCCTGTGCTCCGCAAGGGGAGAGGCCACAACAGTGAGAGGCCCGCATACAGCAAAAAAAAAAAAACAATCCCAGATTATTATCTTATAATTCTGGAGGTCAGAAGTCTGAAAGCCAGAGTGTTGTCAGGGCTCCATCCCTGTAAAGGCTCTGGGGAGAATCCATTCCCTTTCCTGCTTCTAGAGGCTGCCTGCATTCCCCGGTTCATGGCCCTTTCTCCATCTTCAACATACATCACCCCAACCTCTGCCACATCGCCTTCTCCCGCTCTGAGCCCCTTGCCTCCCTCTTATATGGATGCTTGTAATTAGACTGGGCCCACCCAGACAATCCAGCAAAATTTCCCAATCTCAAGATCCTTAACTTAATCACATTTGCAAAATCCCTTTGCCATGTAAGGTAACATATTCACAGATTCTGGGAATTAGGACGTGGGCATCTTGGGGGCCCATTACACAGTCTGCCACACCCAGACCCCCCGAGGTGTGCCTACGACAGCATCGAGTGTGTCCTGCACTCAAGCACCCTGGCCACAGCCATAGGGCCCAGCGACCTGACCTCTCCTTCCCTCTGCAGGACGAGATTGAGGAGCTGCGGGCAGAGATGCTGGAGATGCGGGACGTCTATATGGAGGAGGATGTGTACCAGCTGCAGGAGCTGCGGCAGCAGCTGGACCAGGCCAGCAAGACCTGTCGCATCCTGCAGTACCGGCTGCGCAAGGCCGAGCGCCGCAGCCTCCGCGCTGCCCAGACTGGCCAGGTGGACGGTGAGCTCATCCGTGGCCTGGAGCAGGACGTCAAGGTAAGCCCAGGGCCCTCCCAACCCTCACAGGTGCCCTTGCTGGGGGGTCGGACCATGAGCCTGAGTGCCCAGGTCAGCTCCCTCCTCATGTGTCCTTGGGCAAGTTCCATCATCTCTTTGGGCCTCAGCATCCTCATCTGTAAAATGGGGATCCCTAGGAACTGATAGGCCATCTACCACGGTTGTCCCAAAGTGGTATCATAAGGTGATACCTACTAACAGCAGCTGCTGTGTGAGTACGAGCCACACACCTGGTGCTGGGCTCCAAGTTATCCGTGCACAGTTCCATGGAGGCTTCTTTCTTGTGCTGATGGAGAGTAGTGAAGGTCTGGAGTTGAATAAGGCTGGTTTAAATCTTGGCTCCAATATGCCCTAATTTTATGATTTTGAACAAGTCACCTATTTCAGTTTCCTCATCTGTAAAACACGTGTAACGGCAGCCCCTGCCTCACAGGGTTCTGTGAGGATCAAATGAGATCAGGTAGGTAGGGGGTCACTGTAGGCCCTGGAAGAGGTTAGCTAATAATTATTATTCTTCTTCTCATTTTCCGGATAAGGAAAGTGAGTCTCAGAGAAAGGAAGTACCAGTCCAAGGTCATAGCTGGCAGAGCGCAGACTTATCAGCCTCCCATGCTTGCTGCCTGACCTTGTTGATCTTGGCCTCAGAGAGCAGGAAGGGGATGGCCTGGAGGCTGGCAGATGGGGCTTCCAGAAGAGAAGTCTGCCCTGCCTGTCTGTATGAGCCCTGGTCTGGGGGCTGAGAACTCCAGGGGACCTGGCCCAGCACCCTGCTCTCAGAACTCAGCCCAGTGTTATCCGGGGATGTAGGAGCTGGGGGTAGGGGCATCTGGCACAGCCTGGGGGACTGTGGAGTCTTCCTGCAGGGGTGACCTCTGAGGTGAGGCCTGAGGTGGAAGGAGAGTTGAAGGAAGAGGGCCCCTGTAAGGGGAGGTGAGGAGTGAGCACCAGATCCACACCGGCCTTTGCGTCTCCCATTGTCTTGCATGTGCTGTGGGCACGTTGGGATTGTAGGTCTGCTGTACAAGTGAGGAAACAGCTCAGAAAGGTTATATCTCCATGGCCAAAGTGTACCTGTACCTAAGAAGGCAGCTCTTGGGATAAATTGTTATACAAATATTCAAGTTCCAGGTACCAGATCGAGAGGGTGTGGGGTGAGGGAGAGCCCTGGAAGCTTAGAGGAATCTGAGTTTGAGTCCAGGTAGTTGGGGCTTTGGGGCAAAGACACCGAAAAGTCAGCCTTAGGTGAGGAAGGGGTGGAGGAAGGCTGGAGCTGGGAGCAGACTAGCTAGCTGGCTTGCCTCTGTGGGAGGAGCTGAGAGCAGCTGGTGTGTGTGTGTAGAGTGGGGAGTGGGGGAGGCCCTCTGGAGTCTGGGCGGAAGGGAGCGGCCCCTTCTGTTGGGATTTGAACTAGCCAATCAGCAACTGGCTTGGCCCCTTCCCTCCCTCCTCTCCCTGCGCCTGCAGCTGGAGCGCTGAGCTCATCCACACTGGCCTGGGCTGGACAGCTTTGGCCGCCTCTCTGTGTCCCAGGTGCTGGGGATGTTCTGGGGCATTTTTTGGAGGCTTTCAGAATGCTGACTTCCCTGGCATCGCCTGGGAGGGCTTGAGAGACCCAAGTGTGGAGGGAACTGGATGCTGCCTGGGAGGGTATCCCCGGGGGCCCTCCGACTTGCTGTGCCAGCAAGAGTAGACAGGCATGAGGCTGCCTCTTGGAGTCTCAGTTTCCCCTTCTGTTAAAAGGAGGGCTTAGAGCAGCTGAATCTTCAGGGCTTTAGCAGCCCCAGTGGTTTAAGCAAGCAGGTAGATTACTGGTGAGGGTACCATGAAAGAAACCTCAGGCCTTGGCCCTCCCTCTCCCTCACCCCCACCCCCAGGCTCTCTCGCTGTCTGCTGGTTCTCACAGCTGGCAGGACCCACAGAAGCTCAGCAGGGACAATG